AAAAACACCTAAGGATGGGATGGGAAATAGTATATTGGGAGAATTTACTAGCCTAAGTGAACCATTTCTAGTTTTTAAAGAAATCATTAGAGGATGCTGTGGTGAACCAAGGCAGCCTCTTAATTCCAGTCCTTATCACAGATGGCAATTGCAAGCACCTTTATTAATCATTTTGATGGCTGAGGATTCACTTTGTGAGACTTTGGTGATTCATTGAGATCCATTGAACAGTACTTGCTTATAACTGCCTACTGAATATTCCCAATATTGCTGTTCAATACTAAATGAGGATCTCCAGATGTCCCAAGAGCTGGGCCCTAACTACTTCCTTCCTTGAACCACCTGCCCTCTACCACTTTCTATTCTGGTCACAGAGATCTTCTTTTTCTATTTCTTGCATATGTCATGCCCATGTTTGTCTCTGAGCTATGATTCGCTCATTTTTCTACTTGGAACGATTCTATTTATCTATTCTATTTATCTATTGGTAGTGTACCTTCTAACCTTCAAACTTAGCTTCCTATGGTTTCACCTTCTGGATCTCCAGATTATTTCTGCTGGAACTCAAAACCAAGTACCCTCTTTCTGTAGATTGCACTGCAACTTGTGCAGCTGTGTTTTTTATCATTATAGTTATTGTATCTATTACTTCAAGTGCTGAGTGACAGCTGTCTCCAGAGTCAGAACTTTCTTTCTGTCATTTTCTTTCTTAATCAATATATATATATATATATATATATATATATATATTTCCTGTCTCTCTGAACTATGTCAATTTAGCCAACATTGAGTCCATGCAGCATGCAAGGCCTGAGCTACCTCCTCAAGAGTCAGAGGGAAAGGAAGGAAGTCTCTCTATCCCTAAAAGCTGTATCTTTCCCAGAGTCCTCATTATTCCTGTCTTAACTCACACCACTGTCTTTGCACACATGAACAGTACAATGGTTCCAGTCCCTGCAGACCCTCCTCAGTACCTTTAAGGTAGAAGCTACCATCAAGTCCTTATTCATATGCCCTTGGCCTTAACTCTGAGCAATTCTTGCTACCATAAGCCATGCCCTTCCAGGCCTTTTCCTATCTTGCTGCTTTTTTCTAAAATACTACTTCATCTGTTTCTGCAAGAACAGGAGTGAGCAAGGACTGGTGATTATTTTAACTGACTCTTTCACTAGATAGTAGGCTCCCAGAAGTTAGAGGTCATTTCATTTTGCAAAACCAGTGTCTTTTCCAACACTCAATTTCCTACTCTTTTGGATAAGCAGAATGCCAATACACAATATTTATTGTAAGTTTTCCTAAAATGTGTTAAATGTATGTCTATATTTATGTTAAATTATAAATGTGTCATATATATGGTATATATATTTAGTATGCATACAATTTGTTAGTTCTATAGATACTCTTTAACTGTTACTGAATAGACTTGATACTAATCCTTCAGCAACATGATTATAAAACCAATATTCTTAGTTTTATTGTCATCATTTAGAAGTTTGTCATCCTTGCCTGGACAATTAAAAAGTAGAAAACACTTCATTGATTTTTCTGCCTCTGTTACTCTCTATGGAATACCACGGTGAGCTTACTTCCCTTTCTCAAACATCCAGTTGATGGTGTTTTTCCCAAGTTTAGAATGTCTTTCTCTATTTTTTTTTAAAAAAGAGATGGTGTTTAAACTCCTGAATACTGAATACAAAAGTTTTCATAATCTGGCCTCTACCATCCTTACTCACCTGCTAGTATGTCATATTCCACCTTACGCTCTGCCCTAAAGGCAGGCATGAGTACTCATCATCCCCAGAGACACTGTGCGTGTGTTCACTCTTCTTTGCCTGTGCTGTCTTATATTCCTCTCCTCCTTCTCCTTCTGCACGTTGAGTAGTCAGTCAGCTCTAACTTCCTTTCCTCCTTCAGCCTTGAATTCTGAATAATTCTTTGGATTGAAAGTGGCAAAAAACCTGACATGAAGTAGTTCAAACAATAAGTCTATAATTCCACTGAATAACATCAGAGGTGAGGCACTTCTATGGTGAATGCAACTCTCAAGTGGGCTCTCACTGACATAGGTTCTTTTTAAACTTTCCACTCTGTCATCTTTAGTGTGCCTTTTGTCCTTAGGGTTTTCATCACACTTCCTTTTGTAATATGCTGTACATAGAACTGCTCATCATGTGCTCATGTCTGTATTAGTGTCTTAGTTCTTTAGAGAAATAAAATCAATGGAATGGATGGGAAAAGGAGACAAGAAGAGAGGGAGAGAGGAAGAAAGGCAGAAAGAGATATCTGAGAAATGGATTCACCTGATTTTGGAGACTGACTTATTTAAATGGTACTTCCATCTAAAAAAAATAACCTTCATATCAGCATCCATATATTTGATCAAATATGTAGGTAATAGGGTCTAACGAATACAAATGAAACTAGCTAGTCCAATGCCTCAAACAATCACTGACAAGAAAATAAAGGAAATAATCAAGGCTGGTACAGATATTAGCCAAGAGTGATGTTATGGGTCCCGGAAGTGGTCCCTTCCTGAATACACAGCTTTGTTGTGAATGAACAAACAAAATGTGGGTGGCACCTGCAATACAGACATGGTTGTCGGAGCTTTATATTTGAGCAGGTAAACAAATCACCTGTTAAACATCAACTAGTGAGTCAGTATCATGATTTTTTATGTGTTTGAACCACCGTAAGCCTAGGTTATGGGTCAATGAGAATTCACCTTGAGTAGACAAGTTACCTTTTTGTTAACTTCAAACATGGTGTTCTGCTACACAGGTACTCCATAAATGCCATTAGAATGACCCAGGTGGGATATTCTGGTGCCAGATTAACATTTTCTTTGCCATTGATATAGAACTCACATGTTTCTATCCACTATAAGTTTGGTTGAAGTCATTGATTCACAACTGTTACACCATCTGGGCCTCAGTTTAAGGAAAAGTTAAAGCCATAAATAAACATCCAAAGGAAAGATGCTATGGATAGAACCCATTCCTGTGGTTGTCTTGGAAGCAACAAGCAACTCAAAATAGGCCCTTGAACATATGTAAGGAAAAAAATATGACAACATTAAACAAAGTGGGCTAGAAAAGAGAAATCTTGCAGTGACCATCACTGCTATCCACAGTCTTTCCAAGTATCACAGAGGATATTCCTGTAGGGGGAGAAATAATTTCAGAAGAGTTACTGTATCCCAGAGGGAATGCCCTTTGCTGCTCAGATTTGACAGTCACAAGGACAAGAACATGACTATAACTGTAATTTCTGGTACATCTTGAACAGGAACAAGCAAATTCATTAGAAAAAATGTACAAACTATCTATTAGAATAGGATCGCTCCTGGTGTTGGAGATGACAAAGGGGTGAGCATAATCAAAGTACATTGTATGCATATATCAACATGCCAAAGTGTTTAGACAATTGATGGCAATCAAATGTGGAAAGAAAAGAAAAGGAGAGAAAATAAAGGAAAAGAATGGCTCCATTCAGAAGTTCAAATGTCAGAGTGGCAAGCTGTGTAATGGAGCATGTGGAAATGATTTGCATATACTAGAAAACCTATGTGGGAATGTAAGAATGAAATCTCCCCTGTATAATGAATGCAAACCAGTTAAAAATAAATATCAAATGCCAGTTATTGACATAATTTTATATGAAAATAGCTTGTGTGAGTTATATTGTGATGACTTTTATTCATTTGAAATCTGGCCGTTTCTGGATGAATTAATCAAGTCCAATACACTGGGTACACTGGGCTGAAGAATAGATGTGCCATAGTAAATTTATCAAGTGAATGATGTCAGACTCTGAGGCTAGCTGGAAGCCATCTGGCTGTCTCCTGAGTCACGTACTCCCCCACTCCCCACCATGCTTGGCTTCTTCCTACTGGAATGTCCCAAGAATAGCTCTGATTGCCCCCATAATACAAAAGAGACAAGACAAGTTTGGTAACCTTCGTATCTTATCGCAGTTCATGTAAGTGAATGCCATAAAAGAACAAGCAAGAAAGACAAAGAAGACATGGCACGTGGGAACCGCATACAGAAACATCAACTAAAACTTCTAGTTCTCCATGCTCTGTCTGAGTGGGGACCACACACTTACCCCTCTTGAGATCTTTCTGACTCTCTCACATCTAAGTAGTTCAAAGTACTTTTGAAATACTTTAACCTACCTTCCCCCATCTTTCCTCTCCTACTCTTGCTTTTCCCCTTGCCTCTCTCAGTTCTGTAGTGGCAGGAGGATGAGAACCATATATGCAAACAATAGATGTAGGAGAAGACAAACTATGTCCACTCGCTTCTAAAGTCACGGTAGGTCTTAGGCTCCTGTCTAGCTTTGGTCCTCTGTTCGCAGTCGGACATTATCCATTTCACTGGTTATTTCTTCTTTGTGTTTGGCTCAGTGTGTTGAGCTCTGACTATGGATGCTACTGACATGGCGTTGGTGACAATATATATCCCAGCAAGCTTCGTTGCCATGGTTAGTCTTTTCATGTGTCTGCATTTCATTAATGCTAAGAAATGGTCCTTCCTGACCTAACCAAATGAGGGCATGCAGGGCTTCAGCCTTCAGTCCTCCATTTCCCTCTTCCTAATATATGGGAGGACCTTGGATTATGGGCTCAGAGGGAAATAAAAACCTATCCTGGTTAAGTTATAATGCCCTTAATAAATGTGCTCTTATTGGAGTATTCCTCCAACACATAAATTAGACTGTCTTGCTTTTCAGAATGCATTTCACACCCTTTTACCAGATGTAAATTTCTATATGAACACTAGTTTTCATTCACATACTGCTTTTTGATTTCAAAATTATTGCCTAAATTTTTACAGATTATATGGGTGCCCTAGTGTGATAATTCAATGCATGTGTATAATAGGTAATGGTCAAAAAAATAGTTGGCATTTCCACCACCTTTACAAAAGTTTAAGGACAAAATTCATCTGTTAAAAACACCAAAATAAAATAAGTAAGAATAAGTGTGTGCTTACCTGGAACAAAGCTCCCCTGGACCACCTCCTTGTATGCCCACCAGCCTTCATGGATTTTTGGTGAATTCTGTTGAGCTACAAGAAAAGCAAAAGACAAGAGAAACTAAAGATGACAGTATAGAAGACTATGTCCTGCTATCCAAGCAAAAGAACGAACAGCCACAAAATAACCTTTATCCCCAAACCACACTCTAGTTAAGACTCTTTTCCTTTCTCTTTTTAAAAAATAGATCACTGGTATGTAAATATATTGACATAGGTTTTTTTTGTTTAATTTGAAAGGATATAGATACTTGGATAAAAATGAAAAAGATAGGGATCATGTCTTTACGTCCTCCACTATTTATGTTTCTCCACATGTTCTCTGTATAGGTGTACCCTACACACATACATTCAAATTGGGCTTGAAGAGAAGGGGCAGTGGGATCCAGCAGCTTAGTCAGGTTCCTGGATAAGCACAGAACCTTTGTGTTTGGATAGGAGAGGAATTTGTTGGAGAGGTTTGACCAGAGGTTGAAGGATGCAACCCGTTAATGTTCTGCAGGTACTAGGAAAATGAAAAAAAAAATATCCATGGTGAGAGGTTTTGGGGGAAAAGGTAGAGGACTCAGAGTATCAGGAAATACTAGAAGAACCTGTGACATCATAGTGACATACTTCAGAAGAATACTGGATTTATGACAGTTAACAGATGAATTAGAAAAATTCATTACACTTGCCTCTATATGCCAAAGTCTAGAGGATACCAAATGTGCTCATTCCTTTATGAATTAAAATATATTCTTTGTTTTAGTTCTCAGTTGGGGAAAATAAGGTAGATTAAACCATATTTGCAACCTGGCTTATATACATAGCAATGAAGCTCTCATTTTATTTTTTAGTTATCCTGTTCAAAATTATAACCACAAGACTCAACATTCTAGGCTAGAGAGAATATGTATAAGATATTGGTTTTAGCCAGGCACCAGTGGCTCACACTTGTAATCCTAGCTACTCTGGAGGCTGAGATCTGAGGATCACAGTTCAAAGACAGCCTGGGCAGCAAAGTCTGTGAGACTCTTATCTCCAATTAGCCATGAGAAAACCAGAAGTGGGGCTGTGGCTCAAGTGGTAAAGTGTTCACTTTGAGCTGAAGAGTTGAGGGACAACACCCAGGCCCAGAGTTCAAGCCCCACGACCAGCCAAAAAAAAAAGATATTGGTTTTGAAGCGAGGCTTTGTGTATAAAGAGGATTTGATAAATTCTCTTAGCTTGCAAGTGAACTTGCAACAAGTGTCTCCCCAGAGCATTGTTAAGATACCTTATTCTACCTATGACACAACTCTCTGCACTTCAAACTCTGTAGTTGAAGAGGAATTTATAGCATAGGATAAATAAAAGAGATATCCAGACCAGGAACTGACAGAGGGGCTAAGGAACTTCATGAACAAATAGAAGAGGAACAAAGAAACAACTTTTGTTTATGAGACAGGATCTTTTTGTGTAGCCCGGGCTGGCATCAGATGCTCTATCCTCCTTCTTCTTCTTCTCAATGCTGGAATTATGTGTGTGCACCACACATATGGGAAGAACCTATTGAAGACCCTGGAAAGCTATTATCTTCTAGGTTGCCAAGGATAAATCTAAGGAGTGAAGGCAGGGCGGACAAGGAGATCTGAAGTCAGTCAAGTGATTTTTAGGTCTGATGAGGCCAAGAAACCAGATTAAAAAAAATATGTTTCCTGTATAATTGTTCACTGAAAATAAAAACACTGACTGGTAACTTAAAATACTTAACTCCAAAAAGAATATCAATGTAATGAATAAAATATTTCAATATAAAGAAGAATGCCAGGAACACAATTTATAATAAAATCAATATATATTTTAACATGTAATTCATTGGAATGACATAGCAGAAGAAAAAAATGAGGAACTTAGATGCTGGACTGAAACCTAATAAACTAATACCACTGCACTGTAGTGGAGATTTCAAAATCCATGAATGGTGTGATTTTTTTTCAAAATAGTGAGAAGCACTTGAAAAAGTTTAGAACAAAATAAAATGCCACTATCTCTTAATTTACACAGTTTTTGCTTGCTCAAGAAGAGAGCATGTTAAAAGTTTGTACGAGATGCTTTGTGTTAACATGCAAAATGGAGTTTGCAGATTCAGACAAATAAAACATTTTCTTCAGGTACTCGAATGTCTTCTGGGACATAAGACAATTTATCATTGTTTGGGACTAAGATGTTGTAGAGCATACAGTATCTATACCTTCTTTGGTTGTAGCTATTGCAACTTCTTTCAGTTGAAATATACTCAGGAGACTTCATTAATTTCCCAAATATTTCCACAGGACCGAGAAATCCCTGTTCACTATCATTAGCTTCTGGTGTTATTGACAGCATTGTTTATATCTTCTAATTGAATTAGAGAAAAATAATACATTCAACACTAAGCAGATGGTCTTTTGTCTAAACAAGCAAATGATTTCATCTGTTTATCTATCTTTTTTTCTATATCTATCTTACATTCTTTTTTCTATACATATCTGCTTATTTATCTAAATTATCCAGATACAGAAATTGTGTTGTGTTGAGTATATCTGCTATTCCATTATGTTGTCCAGTCATATGTTCTGTCTGTCTTGCGTGCACTTGAGCATGTGAACACACACACACACACACACACACACACACACACACATGCATGCACATATATTCCTGTAAAGAATATTTGATTGAAGTATCAGTTTAAAAACATCATTGAAAAGAAGAAGAAAACCTGGCAGGTGGTGGTTCACACCTGTAATCCTAGCTACTCAGGATTCTGAGATCTGAGGATTGGGGTTCAAAGCCAGCCAGGGCAAGAGTCTGTGAGATTTTTATCTCCAATTAACTACCAAAAAGCCAGAGGTAAAGCAATGGCTCAGGTGTAGAATGCTATCCTTGAGCCAACAATCAAACAAACAAACCAGGGAGAGGGCCCAGGCCCTGAGTTCAACCCCAAGACCAGGAGAGTATGGAAGAAGATGGTGAAAGAGAAGCTAGGGGGCTAAACAAGCTCTCTTGTAGAAACCAATTTTAGTGTTCCAGTGAAAAGTCCAAGGCTAGAGAGTCACACCAAGTGTGCCATCATAACACAGAGAGTTTGGCCAGAGAGGAAAAATTCAGGTAGCTTGGTTAAGGAGACAGATTTGAGCACTTCTTGGTGTCCGCAGCAGTGGCAGCGGCTGCTGTCATGGCCACCATATAACAGAGAGAGCCTGGGACAAAGGCACCAGAGGAAGCGTGCAAGGGGATTCTACTCACTTCCAGCAAGAACTGACAAGGAGTGGAAATCTTTATCCTGCTGACCACAGACAGCAGCAGACTGTGGATGGCCCAGAAACCAAGGGAAAGGTGTGAGTACCACACAAGAAATCCTCACTCCTTTTCATGGAGCAGCAGTGGGAAGGTAGCCCCTCCCCCACCACAGGAGAAGAATTCCATGTTTGATCCTGACAAAGACCCTGCCAGAGCAGCTAGCCTGTAACTCAGGCCTTAGAAAAAGACAATAGGAGCTCCACTCCAGGGGAAAGTTGCCCTTCTCAGGCTGAGGAAGCTACGCCCACGGAACAGTGACTTTCTTCATTGGGCAAATAGAGCCAAAGGCTGCCCCATCCCACTGTAGCACAGGCAGCAGACCCATCTGCAGGAGGGGTAAAAGAAAAACAATTGGAATCTCAGTAAACATAAATCTTGGGGATGGCTACAGGCTGGGTTGTTGAGCTAGCCCTTCAGGGAAAAGCTACTGATTGCTGACAGGCCTCAACTCTACCCACAACCTAGCCCCAACACAGCAACTCCAAGCTAGAGGAAACAGCCATCTCCCTTTTTTGTAAGACTCAAAGCAGATCACCCTCCCACAGAACTAACCTGGGAAGAGGGTCATAAAGTCCCTGGTAAGGCAGAGCTTTATTATGCCTGTTCAAACTGACTTAAGAAACAATCAAGCCACAGGAAAACAAGCATCACAAGCAAACCAAAGACTCCGCCAAGAGACTGGTTAAGAACAAGGGGAGACACAAGATTCCCCTTTCTCACCCCCCCAAAAAAATCGAAGAACTCATTTTTCTACCTAATTTTTAAAAAATCTTTTTTAAAAATTGTTTTCTATTTTTTCATCATTTTGATTTTAGGTTGTTTTTTTTTTTAATTCTCTTTTCACTATTTTCCTTTTGGGTCCTTTCTATTTTTTGCTTTAATTAATTGATGTTGTGTTCATCCCCAGACATATATCTGTCTTTGATTATTAGACCTTATCCTTCATTGTGTACATACTTAATTCAGATATCGATTACTTAATTCACAAATTCTCAGCCTTAAGTCTCTTAATTGTAGTGTTATTTCATTATATTTATATAACTTTTGTGTTTCATTTTTAAATTTTTTATTTTCACTTTTCCTTATTCTTTATCTCTCTTCTTCTTTCCTTCTGTCCTTTCCTCTCTCTGCATTTAGGTCTTGGTTATATTCCCCCTCTCCTTTTCCCTCTCCACATTCCTCTAATCTTATATTCTCCTCACAATTCTCCCTAAACCTATTAATTTCTGGTTTGCTGACTCCTTCTTTGATTTTCTTAGTCCATTGATCCCTAGTTGTTTGTTGTTAAACTAGATTGTATCTGTTGAACTAGATGGTACATGTGCTCATTTTGACTGTGTCAAACAATCTGTGCAGACAGAGCTTGCCTTAAAATAGTGTTCTACCATGGAATTGGTTTTGCTTTCATACCCAAATGGATAGAACAAGCTGGAGAAACACAAGAAAAATGGCAACTCCAGGTATCTCAACTCACACTCATGATAATCAGGCAACAGAATAGTTAATGAATAATCCAGAGGAGAGTTCCCAAAATGCTCTACAAACTCTACTGGTAAACATGATGAATGTAAAGACTGAAAAAGCCTTCAAAGGACTCAGTGTAAGCATAATAGGGAAATCCGTGAGCATGATGAGGCTAACCAAAATTAATACAGGAATTTCATGAGCATGAGGAGCTTAATCAAAGATTAATAAAGGAATTGCATGAGTGGGATGAGAATAAACAAAGATTAATAAAGG